TGCATCAATGAATGGTGCATAAGACCAGGAAACAGGATCTTCACTTGCTTTCTCTCACACTCTTTGTGATGTTTGATTATAATTAACCTGAATGCTAAGCATGATGGTCATGCCAAGCAAGAGTTTAGTGAAACCTGTGGATGGCACGTGCAACTGATAGGAGATAACGAAAGCCTTTGACTTTGACAGTGGAGAAGGGTCAGGGAAAGGGGGATAGATAGGAACATGAAACAACTGCAATTGCGGCTCTTGGGTAACTTTCAATTATTCTTAGATTGACTCACTTGGACCAGCAGGAGAGACATCTTACTTCAGAAGTACAGCGATGAGTTACTGCAAAGATCTGTTCATTCCTGTGATGAGTAACTCCCACAGCAGTAACGTTATCCCCAATGTCGTGTCACCATGTGTGACGGGGCCCCCGGAGAAGGTGTAGCAGAAGGAAAGATCCATCTGTGAGTGATTTAATGACTACAGTTCCAGAGATGATGTGTAATAAAATGGGAGGTATGGGTCAAAGTGACTAGACTCAATCAGGGACAGACCCTTCTGAGTCCACCACATGCTCTAATCTCTACAAACATCTGTTTGAAGTTCCTCAATGAAAACCATCAGTCCTGCTGGATGACCACCTCATTCTTTTGCTATAGCTCATGAAGAACCGTGTGACGTGTGCTGGACATCCTCTTCATTTGTCCATACTTTCCCCACAACTGAATTTTTTAAGAGGATAGTTCACCCAAAAATGGAGATTGTGTCATGATTTACTCACCCTCCGTCTTTCCAAACCAACCTGAACTTCTTATGTGGAAGCCTGCGCTTCTCTCGCTTTTCATGCAATAGACCTTAGTCAGTTTAGACGGCATATTGAGTTTACACAGATAAAAACGAGGCTATGAGGGATGGACTTACAGTCTGTACAATCGCATACATTGTGTAAAAGATTCGCCTTCTCGATGACAACACGCACGTCATTAAACACGCCAAACAATGATTAGTCAAGAAGTCTGACATGTTTCTTGTCCACGACACCACAAGAATTTAGGAGTCACAATCTGACAGTTGTTATTGTAACATACAAAAGAGTAGTGTAGTCTGAACCCAGCATTAGCTTGCCTTATATTCTATACCCAGGTTTTCCAAGACTTTGGGAACCCTGGTTCTTCGATGAAAAAAAAAAAGTGGTTGTTGACGCGGTAAAATAACGCTTATTAAGCTAATAAGCTTACTTTAATATTTATTTTGTGTCCAATTTTTAATCAATTTAAATAATTTTTCAAATTTCTGTTAGTAATTACTCACCATCATGTCGTTCCAAACCTGTAAGACCTTAGTTCATCTTCGGATCACAAATGAAGATAGTTTTGATGAAATCCGAGAGGTTTCTGACCCTCCATAGACTGTAACATCATTGCAACCTTCAAGGCCAAGAAAGGTAGTAAAGACATTGTTAAAATAATTAATTTGATGGTTCAACCTTTATGTCATGAAGCGACAAGAATACTATTTTTGAGCAACCCCACCCCCCAAATAACGACTTTATTCAACCATTTCTTCCACGTCATTCTCCTATGCTGTTGACGTTTTCCTTGCCCAAATACTCTGGTCTTGACCACTTGAGAGCGAGTGCACGCAACAGAAAGTAAGTGCGCAAGACTGTCCCATGTCTTAAAAATGCCAAAGTGCAGTGCCCTTAATGCACACTGGACCCACACCATCTCAAATACCGCATCGGAGCAGTATTCGAGGCTAAGCGTATCCCATCATGCATTATGTTTGGGATTTCATGTGCCCCGGAATCGTGAGATGTCGTGGAAAACATTCCACTGTAATTTAAATTAATAGATACCGGTACATATAATTTGGTACTGGTAGTAAAAACATACAGTGTTGCACTTTTTATTGGTGCAAATATGAGTATGGAATGTGTAGAACATTTGCCTATTTTGTACAACATTTGCAACAGTTTCATCACTTATAGAAGCACCACCATTTTAAATTTGTGTCTTCTGTTAGCGACAACTGAACAGACATGTAGAAGTTTATTTTAAAATGCAAAGTATTGAAAATATAATAAATAAAAGCTCACTGCTGGGGGGTTGAAGTCGTTTGCAAGCACACAGTAAAACGACCAGGGGGGTTAAAGGGTGCCTCTAACCCCCTCTGTAAAAACTTGAATTTTTTGCAAGACTATAAGTGTGTCCCATCGAGTAATCAAAAGTTCTACACACACTTGCAGTCTTTACGTAAACAGTGCAGCGCTTCATGGTTCTATGCCAGAACGCTGCCTCGCTATTGGCCGACGCTGGTCGTGTGACGCTGACGCAGAAACTAGCCAATAATGAGCCGTTGTTCTGTGTTTATCTCCGTGTTGACTAAAATAAATAAATTTCCTTGCATCACTCTTTCTTTTACGACATACGCCAGCAAAACGTAACAATCTCAGCATGATTTAATATGTACTGCTAAATGGGCAATATTACACTACTATTGGTTTACTATTATTAAATTGACAGCATTTTCTGTTGTGAAAAAAAAATGGACACTTAAAAATACACATGAAAATGTATTGTAAAAATTTATTATTGTGGCATCTGCAAGCAAGTTTTATATATATTATATAAATAAAATTACCAGCACTAGAGGGTTAAAAAAAATGTTTATATATAAATATATATAAACAGGTAATTTTTGTGCTGGTAATTTTTTATTTAAATTAAATTAATGTTCTATATTTTAGTTCGATAATGTTTATTATTTAACATTTTGTATTTTTAGGGGATTTTATACCACTAAATTATATTTACGCTGTATTTATAATCCATTTATTCACTTGTTGAGCATAGATCTGAAAATTTAATTTCCAACTTAAACTGACTTAAATCGTGAATGCTTTAAGCACAGACTTAAGTTTGATCTCTTTTCAAAGACCACACTTGGCAGATTATTGCTGAAGTGAAAAAAAGTTCAACTTAAAAAAAAGTTACAGAATTTTAGTTTATTGTTGTGATTTTTTTTATATATATATTAAATTATATTTTAAAAAAAACATGTTTTACTCATAAATAAATATATTAATCTAAACAATTTGTGTTCAAAATCTTCGAATCATGTCCATGACTTTTTTTTTCACATAGCAAGAGCCAAAACCTTAACCAAGTTTCCTACCTTTCAGATGAAGAAAAAAAGTACTTTTTTTCGATCAAAAGTGACTGAAGAGCACCAGAGACACTTAGGCTAATTGGTGTGGCAGTACTAGACGCTGTATGAAGTCATTTCTCAAGGTCCCTCAGGTGTCCTCCTAATCACAGGTGTAGACAGGATCTATTAGCATTTTACAATCACATGTCCAAATATTATAAAATGTACAAATATGTTCTTTTGGGAGCCATGGTTAGACGAACTATGGGGGCTTGAGTGTTTAATGGTTTGCGTCTGAATAGCGGGTGACTGGACTATTCTCCAAGTGTTTAGCATCTGAACAAAAGAAGACTGGCGGCAAGTGACGGAATGAATCGACGCCGATGGGCGAGTTCCCCCGTTTCCACGGCACTGCATGGATAAAAGTGAAAGCACTGCTCTGAAACAACAGGCTTGTGTAAAGTTAAGTGTCGCGTTAACACCAGCCACTTGACACCCTTTAATCCCACCGCGTGCTCAATGGCCGAAGCAGGAGTTCAGCGAACCCCATTACACCAACGCCATGCGCGAAACACTTAATGAAGACATTGCAAAGGAGAGAGAAAGGTCTCGAATTTAAACAAGCAAAGATGGATGGATACAGCAGGACGTTTTGAGCTGTGGTAACGAAAAGTGTGAGTTTGTTATTTGTTTGACTGACACCGTCAAAATTATACCAGTATAAAATAATGAAACATTTAATTTGCCCACAAAAAGGAGAGTTAGGTGCGAGGTACCCATCCGACTCCAAATATACAGCAGAGGGAAAGTCTGAAGGGTCTCCATGAGGGTGGAGGAGTGATGACGCGGACTCCTTTGATCTTCAGAGGCCCTCGTCAACAGACTCCAGTTGATAAAAAAGGCGCGGAATCTCTTATATTGCACTGACAAAAATACCCGCACAACTTAGACAAGTTTTCGTTCCCATTATGAAAGTAAAAAAGTTTGTTCTCACAGGACTACAGACTATAGGTAGCTGGACCTGTAATAGACACACACTAAAAAAAAAAAAAAAAAAAAAAAAAAACCTTTGTTGTTTCAACCCATGTTTGGGTCAAATAGGCTATGAAGAAAACCAACCGTTGGGTTTACAAATTTAACTGAAACATTAAACTGTTTCGCTCAAATATACAAAGTTGGTTTAAAAATTAAACTAAAGCGTTTAAACCAACAGTGGACTTGATCATATTGTTTATTTTTTGGGGTCAAATATGGACAACACCGTTGGGTTTACAATTCTATTTTTGTTTTAAACCAACAGTTCGATTTGTCCAAATTTGACCCAAACATGGGTTGAAACAACACAGCATTTTTAGAGTGCATATTTTTAGTACATTGTATTTAAAGCTACATTTAGTCACCAAATAATAGCCTACATTGTAAAATTTAAATTATATGCTAAATAAACTACAAAATTTATAACACCAATAATAAAGTAGCCTATCCACCGCTGATTGTAAATTCTCACGCTATTTGTTATACATTTACTATATTTATATAGATTTTTTTCCCCAATCCACAAGAGCCAAGTGTCAGAAAAGTCTTATTCTCACTCTATAAATTCGCGTGGATTAGCAAACAGGCATTTCAATGCCAATAAAAAACGACCACATCAAGAAAAATATTGCAGATCAAAAGAACCAAAACTATGAGCATTTTTTTTCAATAAATGAAAAGGACAGAAATGAGTGCCACTGGATCACGCCCCTCCACAGCGATTGGTTCACGGGAAAAAGAGAAGGGTTAAAACCCAGAGCGGGTTAAACACACACAGGTATTGAACAGAGGAGCGCGCAACAGTCAGAGGAGTGTTCGTGTCAGTGGAGGAAAGTGTATAAAGTATCTAAAAGAACAACAAGAAAAGCTTTAAAGGACCTCCAAGTTTTGCACTGAGAAAGCTCACCTGTTCCACACCTTTGGGCTTTGTGTAACTGTGTGTGTGTGTGTGTGTAACTGCTAGTGCAGATTTCCAGTAGCACCTCAGGATTTCTTCTGAGCGCGCGATGAAGTGCAGGGCGTCGCAGAGGAGCGTGCGGGTGATGAGCGTCGTTCATTGGGCTGTGATGCTGGGATTGATCCAGTGCGGCGCGCTCGGCGCGCGGAGGTTCCGCGGAGGTCGAAACCCGCAGCCACGACGCGTGCTCCCCTCCGCGCAGTCCCGCGACCGCGCCGAAACCACCGAGAGCTTCTCACTGGATTTCACAGCCGTGGAAGAAAACATGGACAACTTCATGACTCAGGTGAAGAACCTCGCGCAGTCTCTGTACCCGTGCTCGGCGCAGAAGCTCGACTACGACATGAAGTTACATTTCCTGGAGAATACATCAGTCACCTGTAACGACGGGACCCCAGCAGGGTAAGAAAACACGTCGGTTACGATAATAAACGTTAGCTTACACAACAGTGGGATGCTTATATTGGACAGTATTTGGGCATCACAGGCGCGTGCGGCATCATCTAGGCGCGCGCGCGCCGACTCACGCCAAATAATCTCGACCGTTATTGTTGCGAGCTTACAGTAAAACTGACTGAGCCATCACTGTCAGAACTTATACAGTATAAGTTCCTTTCATCGTCAGAAGAGGCATATTATTTTTAATGAAATGTTAATTGGGGAACCAAAAATCATTTTTCTATGGCATAGCTGGAACCTTTTTCCCCACCTTGTTACAATAATTTCTGTCATTGCTTCCTGATTTTAGTTGGAGTTTAAACTCCAAGCGCTTAAGACTTTTGCATCTCATTGCTTTATGGCGGCAAATAAAATGAATGAATTAAGATATAAATGACTTGCTATTGAGCTGTGTTCTCTACAGTCTAAGCATCTCCTAACATGAGAGACAGTGACCTGACAGTTAGGTAAAATCAGGTTTTAAAGCAATAATACTAAACCAAACATACAAATGTAAGGTGTTGTCAGAGCAAGGTTGAGATAGCGAGAGAATCACCTGGAGTAAACAGTAATACAGTGACAGGTGGGCGGGGCTTGAGGACAGTAAGGGAAATACCTGCTCTAATGTGATGCGTTGGTCAAGTGTGTCTAACATCTGCTTGTGAGATGATTTTCAACTGAGTGACATTAAAACGCCTGATTTAATCTCTCCAACTGGCTGTTGTGCACCTGCCACTGCTGATCATTCAGAATTTATATCGATTTTATTTTTGTTACAATCAGAGAAAAAGCTGTCTGTGTCTCTGCAAACATCAGAACAAGTCCAAAAGCACCAGGAGGAGCATGTGTTCCCCAGAGAAATGGCCAATCATTGAGGGGTTTTCCAATGACCAATTCACATTCCTCCCCCCCCAACCCCCAAGTGTTGAAGCGAAGAGTGTTTTACTGTTGACCCCGCTCTAGTAGCCTATACCTGGAGACTGAAACTCAATTCAAGACACTGAGGTCAAAACAGCACAAGCTACTTGGCTAAAATGCCCAATTACTATGATGCATATATAATTCTAATGAAAGCTAATAAAAGCATATATGCTTGATTGTCATGTTTTGTGATATTGAGACCGTATATTACTTTAGTTTAGACTCTACAAAATGACTGCCATATGCATTATTTACAATATCATTGTAAATGTCATAATTGATTACATTGTAAAAAAAAATATTGCCTTAAATTAAGTACAATCAACTTGGATGTTTAAGTCATATCAACTTAAATTACATTAAACTGACTTAAAAATGAGTGAATTGAATCTTGTAAATCTTGTAAAAAAAGATGAAAATTGCTTAACTTATTTTGAGTTAAAGCGATGTAAAAAAAAAACATATGTTGTCACAACTTATTGATCATATTATTTTTTGTACAGTGCCATGTGCATTATTTACCATATGAATAATTGATTAGGCACCAGACGCTACCTGAGCCTCTGCCGTCTTACACTTAAATCTTAAGCACTGAATCTAGACTCTTGTAAAAAGTAAAAGTGGGGACAGATGTTCAGAATTGAGCCAGCTTGCGTGTAAGTACTCTTTTCTTGACGATATCATGCGTAGGCTGATGTTGACAGTGCTAAATAATCTATAACAACAACAGTGATATCTATAAATAATCAATCTTGTACCGGTTTATTTATCCTGCACATCTTGTGAAGAAAGCCTTCATTAAACATGATCTTTTTGACTCTTGCTATACAGTGAACACACTCTCATGATCCTTTATATAAAACTTTGATATGCCTTATATTCATGCAACTCTGCTGCTATTATGATCGTTACTTTCAAAAACTCTTTATATGAAGCAGATTAAGCATATTTCATGCATATCACGTTTATGCACATCACAGTGTTTCGGAGTTAAAGAATATTACCAGGGAAATGGATTTTCATATTCGCCGCCTTTTGTAATTGACAATATTTATTATGGTACATGCAAAGTATCTTTAAGATGTGAATATCTGGATATATTGAGTAGCAAATAGGCATTAACTGTTCATTTGTTTATGACTTCTTGCAAAATCCTGATGTTAGGAATCATATAATCACTTGAGAGGTTCTGTGAAACTCAATATCACAGAAAAGCTTGTAGGATCAGGATTATCCTAATTTTCCAGCGTTTATAGGAACCTTTACTGAATGTCCGCGTTAAGTTTATGAGCGCTTGCCGCCTGAGCTTTATAAGCTGCAATGCAATGAAACATAAATCATTAGCGTGTAAGTAGTGGTGAGGTGGGTAATAGTGAGAAATGTACACCGTATGCCAAAAATGCGGTCACCAGTGGCATAAATTGGATGCAAATTAAAGCTGTCTTTAATTATGTTAGACTGATGCCCCTCAAAGCAACGAGCGGAGCCACTACTGTAACTGTTCTCACACAAGCAGCAAGCGGCTGAAATATGAGTTAATGCAATATCTGAACGCCCTCTTGTGGATACGGTGGACATCACCTCTCAGTCCATCATCCGTTGTGGAAAAAGAAGTCGAAATAATATACTTTAAAACAATATTTTAAGTGCCAACTAAATGCAATGTTTTCAGACACTTGGCCTAATTGCATATTTATTGCAATTAAATGAAAATGTAGTTTTATTATAGTTTCAAATGGATTTTTTACGTTTTGTGTGACCCACTTAAGTACATCTTTATGTGTAATTTCATAATTCTGTTGAAATATGGTTTAGCTGTACTGTTGAATGTACTGTCTGTCAAGCATTTATGGTACACTAAAACATACTTTAATGCCATTTCTATTGAAACTGTGTGTCATGTTTACATATTTTTGTAATTAATACACGTTGTAATTTAGTATAAATTAAATATTGTATCTTTAAATGTAATATCCAATTAGACACTACAGTTCAAATTGAAATCAAGGACTTTGCACATGGTTTAGTATGTTAGTCAACGCATCAAATTAAGTGTAGGCTACTACTTTAAAACACAACAAAAGATTATTAAAACATAAAGAAATTAAAATGTACTTTAAGGTAAAATTTGTAATTTGACATTTCATGGTTCACTTTTTATACAATTCAAGTACAATTAAAATTGTATTATCTGCAAATGGATAAAAAAAAATATATACTTTTAAGATCTGAAGTACACTTCAAGTACATGCACGTTCAATTAATCACACTTTGTGAGACTTTCATTCTGCTTTATATCCATTCATTGTATTTTTTTAGGATTAGACTCATATTTTGTTGACATAATGCTGACACCTGCTGACAATAACTGCGTATATCTTGAGAAACTGTTCAAGTCAGACCTATAAACTGAATTGTTACTTGAATTGATGTATGTAAGAGCTGATGGCAGTGCTTTGCACACATAGCCTGTAAGTATATGTGTAATGGCTGTCTGCTTTACTGTAGGTACTACTTGAAGGAGTCCAAAGGAAGCAGAAGGTGGTTAATATTTCTGGAGGGTAAGTGTGATGCTTTCAGTCATCAGAAGAATCTCTTCACCGACCGCTGTGTGCGCATGTGATGCTGAACGTGTGTGACATGCGTCTCTGTGCAGGAGGCTGGTACTGCTTCAACAAGGAGAACTGTGACAGCAGATACGAGACCATGAGGAGGCTCATGAGCTCCTCCAAATGGCCACAAACCAAGACAGGTTAGAAATGCCAACAGTCTGTCAACAGTGGTTTCATTGCTTATAGTATCAGTATTCACACCAAAAGACTTTAGCTATACAGAAATGCAATATGGCGGAATAAGCCCCGTCTACTAAATAAAAGGGCCAATCACCAGTTGGTAATGTCATTGCATCACTGCGGCTGCCTTTGATTTGGATGATCAAGACAAAATTGATGAGACCGTTGTTGTCAAATTTCATTGTCGATTTCAAATATGAAATTTAATCGTAAGGTTTGTGTGGAAGAGCTTTGGAAAATGTGATGTTTCCGCATTCAAAGAGATATTTGAAGGTGTACTCGCATGACTGAAATAGCTGAGGTGTTTCAAAGATGGCCGCCGAGTGAAATGACTTTCCTTAAATGGACTTTGTTGGAACTCAGGCCAAATTCTCGGCACGATAAACACACATAAACTAGATTTCAAAACCATTATAGAAAGAACATTCTCATTTCTGTTATTTTGCATTATTTCATAGTTCTATATGTCTTTGTTTTAACTTCAGGCACAGGAATACTGTCTTCACTTCCAGAGGAAAACCCACACTGGTGGAATGCCAACATGGTGTGAGTATCTCTCTGTCAATACTCGTGTAAATAATACTCTTTTTCTTCGCTTGAGATGAAACGGGGTGGTTTTCATGACGGTTACGTTGGCACAAATTTGGACCTGAAGTCTTTGTGTTTATCACGTTTCAGGTTCATCCCATACTGCTCAAGTGATGTATGGAGTGGGGCCACACCAAAAACTGATCAAAGTAAGATTCAAAATATATATAAAAGATTATATATTGTGTACTATGTTATATAGTATGGTCCAAATGGCAGTTAAACTACATTGAAAAGATTATTGTACTTTAACCTGGAAAAAAAGAGTGCAAGAGAACTGTAGTGAAAAATGATGTACTAAATATAATAGGAATGCCAAATATAAGATGTTCACTAGTGGTCCCAGACTTATGGATACAATGCCGTTCAAAAGTTTGGAATAATATAAATAGAAATAGAAAATAGTTATTTTAAATTATAATAATATTCTATGTGAATATGTTAAAATGTAATGTATTGCTGTAATCAAAGCTGAATTTTCAGCATCATTACTCCAGTCTTCAGTGTCACATGATCCTTCAGAAATCAGTATAATATGATGATGCATTTGAAGAAACATTTCTGATTATTATCATTATGTTGAAAACAGCTTCATATTTCGCTGGGAACCAAGATTCTTTGATGAATAGAAAAGTTCAAAAGAACACAGAAATCTATTTGTAACATTATATATGTCTTTAATGTCACTTTTGATCAATGTAATGCATCTTTGCTGATTCTGAATAAATGTTCAATATTAATATCTTGAATGAGACACTTGTATAGCGCTTTCATATGTACTACTGTACACCCAAAGCACTTTACAATCATAATTTGTAATTCTTAATGACCCAAAACTGTTGGTTTGCATATGCCAGTGCCAATATATTACCACTTTATACCATCGCTGTAGTAGTACAGTAGGATGCTATAGTTTTCATGTAGTGGCCATCTAACAACTAGACCTGATCTTTTTTATAGCTGTTATAAGCTAGTTAGCACTGGCCGTTCATTAATGGGTTGTTTATTGTGTACAGATGACTATGCGTTCATGGGTTCACTGATCATAAAGGAAGTGGTGAAGGACCTGCTCACCAAGGGTCTGGACAATGCCAAGATACTGCTGTTAGCGGGAAGCAGGTGAGTCCACAATACAGACCATCGTTTCTGACTCTGAGGTCTGTGACTGATGTTGACTAAGTGTGTGTGTCGTGTGCACAGCGCGGGCGGCACTGGGGTGTTGCTGAACGTGGACGCAGTATCTGAGCTCCTGGAGGAGTTGGGTCACACAAACATCCAGGTCAGGGGTCTGGCTGATTCGGGCTGGTTCTTGGACAACAAACAATACCGCTGCACTGACTGTGTGGACACCATCAACTGTGCACCCACAGAGGTCATCAAGAGAGGAATCAAGTAAGAATATTACGCTTGTCATTAAAGGTAGGGTAGGCGGAGACGCTAAGTTAGCTTTGAAAGCATTAGATCCCATTGTCTCTTCAGAGCGTCTCCAATGTCAAAGCCCATGGGGCAATGCAGCGCCAGGCGCGACGTGAGTGTTATTTGCTAGTTTCAGCCCGACGCGTTTTTCATTTTTACGTCCTGGTCTGAAAACGAGGTGTGTTCAAGCGCATTGATGGCACTTTGCTATTTTGAGGCAACTGAAATAGACTGCGCCATTGACCAACATAAACTTGGTCTAAAGTCAATGGCACAATATTTTATTTTTGTTATTTAAAGAGCGCGTTAGTAATATGAGCCTTTAGGCGGGTCCACAACGTGCATACACTCTGCTTAACAGCAGCACACAAACATGCCAAATATTACAACTAAAAGGATAAGAATGTAAAAGATTATTGTTGTGTACATAAAGATATGGTGGATTCCGGCTTGTCCCGTAGATGGTCTCCTTGCTCGCTTTGACCTCACACATACACACACACACAGCTTTAACCTCGCGCACGAGTAGATCCGTTTGCGCTCTGGAGAAGCGTTCGGTCTTTCCACTATCAAATTCCTCCATGTAAATAGTGAATCCGCCATGGCGCGAGCACAACTGGCTTTAAAAGGGAATGGGAGATGGGTTTATTGCACGTTACACCCAAAACAGACCCATCACTCATTAAGAGAATAGCTACAAGCCTTTTAGAGCATGCGTCGGGGGCGCTGACCATTTTTCCCGTCGTTAAACTAGAAAAAGTGGATTCGGACACGTCCTAAGTGCACTTGCGCCGTACGCTTTATACCATGTGCTTAGATGCTTAACATAGGGCCCATGAGAGCAGAGGCTGCAAAGTGTCACGAGACGAGAGACTACGTTAAATTACCTCATGTCTGAAAGCACGTAACATTACAATAATAATGAACGTAAACAACTTACAGAGCTCTTACTTGTGCCACCTGACTGCTGCAGATTAATTTCAGCATTGACAGTGTTGACATAAAAACGGATAAATCCGAGTTCCAGGTAGAACGTCATGGGTTGCCATCTCTTAATTATGGTAGTTATGTCGTGAATGCAGTATAAAATATGGCTGCTGTTTGTTTGTGTTGCTCTGTGACTGACGTCTGTCTACAACTCTGCATTGAGTTTTTCAACCAGTAACAAAAAGTTTGAACAAACCTTAAGAACGGTTACATTGTAGAGTTTTTGCTATCTGTGTCCATTGATTTTAACTGTGATGGGCTGTTGCAAGTGACTAAATGAAGTCCATTGAGAATTTCAGAGAGGTGGGTCACATCGTTCCTGCAGAAATACGATGTGCTGTATTTACATTTGATTTTTAAAGAGGACTCGACTCGTTCCACACCTTCAGAACAGACCATGCACATTTCATGTCTTTGTACCACTATTGTATCACTAAAAGTGGATAAATCTCTGAAATGAAATAAAAAATATTTTGATACCATCCCAACTTCTTGTGAGAAGTGATCAAACTAAAGTCCTGTTCACATTCAATTCAATCACATTCAAGAATTCAATCTTTCCGCAAATTGCGGAAAGAAATGGCATTGGGCTGAATGAAAATACTTATGAATAAAAGCCTGAAATAGAGCACTATACAAGGCCATTGCTGCACAGTTTTCAGTTTCGGACACTCGCTTTTCACGGCGAAGAAAGTAAAATAGTATTTACATGTTTTCAAGCAGGCATTCAGACAGCTGAGCTGTTTATCACACAACACAGGATACAACTGCATGCAAATGTTTGTATCGTCTGAACAGACAATTTACCAGCCGTTCATTCAAGTTCAAATGTTCATCACACCAAATATTGGTAAATATAAAGTCATGAACTTCTTGTCGACAGATACTGGGGTGGTGTTGTACCGGAGCGATGCCGACAGGCTTATGAAGGAAAAGAATGGAACTGCTTCTTTGGGTATAAAGTTTATCCTACCATTAAACGTGAGTACAGGGACCATCCACTAGTTCTTTACGGACACCATTGAGTTTGGTTGCTTTGTTTAACCCAGTGTGATGTTTCTTTATTACAGGTCCAGTGTTTATAGTGCAGTGGCTGTTTGATGAAGCCCAGCTAACGGTGGACAACATTCATCTGACGGGTCAGCCCGTTCAAGAGGGCCAGTGGCGTTATATCCAGAATCTGGGGACGGAGCTGAGGAACACTCTGAAGGACGTCCCGTAAGTATGACCGGCCCTTCAGAGACTCAACTTTGAATGAGCATTCATGCGGTCTTCACAATATCACTTTTTCGCTGTTTCTGATGATCTGCTTTTCCCCTGCAGTGCCATGTTTGCTCCAGCTTGCCTTTCGCACGAATTCATAACAAGAAAGTAAGTGATCTCTTTGATTTTGTGCATCTCTACTTGTAGATTAAGTGTGCTGTCAGTTCAGGAGTAGATTTGCACTTTTCAAATTAAATAAAGTGCAATTAATACACTTTACCTGACGTTCTACTGTGTTTAGGATAAAACCTTTGATAAAACATCCCGCCCAAGGCATACGCAAAATAAAGAGGTGAGGTCTAGTTGAAGCGGGGGGCGCTTGTCTGAAGTATAAAATCATTGGTTACCCGTAAGCCAATCACATAACGAAACCATCGAGTGAAATACCGGAGTGAACATGGCTGACCGAGTTTTGCTGCCTCCTTAACCTGATCCTCCATGAGTGCAACCAAGGGGACACAATTACAACTATGGCCTCCCCAGTTTCTCACTGACGATCGGTAATATTTGATAAATAAAAAATTTACCAAAACCTGTCGGGAGTAGGGCCACTACATCACCTCCATTCAAAATGTTTACAAAACACTCTTCTTGTTCGGGCTTCAGTTTGGAAATGCCGGGAATATTCTCCACAACAGTGCGAATTGCATCCCGTGTCTCCATATCAGCGGTCGTTTTCCCCAATCTTAAACTCGGCGCTTAGCGTCTACGTCACGGCTCTCAGCCCGCCCTCTGTTCGTTGATTGGCCGGCTGTTTTCAGGCCGGAGGAAAACTGAGAGACATGTCGATGTCTCAGACTGAGTACAGAAGCGAACTGAAATAGAGCGGAAGTACGAAGTCTGACGTAGTCAGGCTACGCCGTTTCCAGGAAACATGACGTTCAACCCGGAAACCGTAGCAAAACGTTGCACACCGTTTTGAACTTGAACGTGCCCCAGGTTTTATAGAAACTGAAACAAAAACAGACTTCTCAGACAGAGGGTGAAAACAGGTGCTGCAACAATGTAAATCGACATTAATCGAAAAATTTGTTTTTGAACATTAAATGATGTAAACATATTCTAGCAAGCCCATGAACCTGTAAATAAGCATAATAGGGGCCTTTAAATATATATATATTTTTTTTAAAAGGATATACCTGGTAAATAGTAGGGTGAAAAGTCATTGAATCATATTTGAAGTGTTATTTTTCCCACTAGTCAAATGAACGGGACACTCATTGAGTAGTTCTGCCCTCTTGTGTTTGTTGTAGTTTCTGGACCGACGTTCAAGTCAAGGGCACGTCTTTACCCAGAGCGCTCCACTGCTGGGATCGCAGTCTACAGGACAACAGCAGAAATAACAAATCCCCTCCCAAAGGCTGTCCCATGCACTTGATTGACAGCTGTCCATGGCCTCACTGCAACCCGACGTGCCCAACAATCCGAGACCAGTCGACGGGACAGGAGATGAACGTTATCCAGTTCCTCATGCACATGGGCTTCGACGTGCAGAAGATGGCCCACCAGCAGGGCATGGACCCGAGTAAACTACTGGGCATGCTCAGCAGCGGCAGCTAAATGCTAAAAGGACTCGCTCCTTTCCCATCAGTCCGTTTGATACCTCCAAGCCCTTCACCCACCTCAGCTTTGACCTCAGGCTGAGCCTTGCCTTTAGTCGGGGCTCTGTGCCAAATTTCTATGGGCTTCCATCTCCAGATCCCCTCATTAATGATCCGTTTAAAAGTCCAGCGTATGCATTTCCAATGCAAATTGTCCTCACTGAGCAGCTTTGGAGACGGTGGAGATGCCCAAAACAGAGATTTGGAACGGAGCCCTTGTCAGATCCACCTCAGTTAAACCATGGGCTGCTGACTGTTCAAAACCTTCCCAACACAGTACGGGTTAAAGTACTGAGGAAAACCATGCAAACCGGGACAAGGTACACCTGCATCTCTGCTCTTAATTTATCTTTTGGTTATTAAAGTATCACGAATGTAATCCAGTTTTACGGATCTTCAGCTGTGTTGTTTGCTTTGTGGTTTTTATCTTATTTCCTTTTTGTTACCAATATATTTAGCCACAGTTTATTAGAGTTTTATATGTCCATTCAGAGAGAGTGTTACGGATGTATTATCGAATATAGAGTTTATAATCTGTAACGCAGATTATATGAAGTACATGTAAAATATATATGGATCTACTCAAGACTATAAAGAATCGTATAAACGGGAACTTTGGGACAGACAGACACACACGTGTGTGGAAAGCACTGGATCACCTACTCTAAACCCACCTACTCTAAACCCAACATCATTCTTGGGGTACGGCTAAGTTATTTTCAAATATAATATGACTTGATTATAATAATATTTAAAGGAATAGTCAGTCCTTTAATAATAATAATAATTCTGTTATCTTTAACTAACTCCCATGCCATTCCAAACATGGATTTTCTTCCGTAGAAAACAACTGGAGAACTTTCAAAGAATGTTCAAGCTTCTGTTTCTCAATATCATCAAAGTGTTTGGTCATCTATACTGCCAAAAGCCAAAAAGGATGTAAGAACACAATAAAAGTATCATAGTAGTCATACACTATATCCCAAAATCCATTCAACAGTACCAAGAACAATAGCTATAAAGATAACTATACCGATACAGTCGGGTTTCAGAAGTAAAAACTCCATTCAATTTCTCCATAGGGAAATGGATTTTTAACGATAACTTATAAACCTTTAAAGACAGCCCTACTTTGAGCGGAGAGGTTGTTAATCCATGTTATTTTGGGTTTTTATTTAGAAGCCATTAGACCACGATATTTCAACTTAGTTTTAAAATAATCGTGTTTAACCCTCTGCTGGTGTTCGGTCATTTTAGAGCGAAAAAACATTTCTTCGAAATTAAAAAAAACGCTACTTCATCGGAATGGTAAAAAATAATTGTAACCTTTGCGGCAGTCACTAATGTGACTTAATTTGAAAAAGTTAAATGATTGTTAAAAAAAAAAAAGCCACACTTGTGGTGTTCGCGGTCAAAAATGACTGCTATGGGAAATGAATGGGAAATAGGCAAAAATACAGAGAATTATTTGTGTACAATCTACATATCAGCCACGATGCACAGCAATGAAGGGGCGACACCAACATATCAAGAGTGCAAAATAGACACAAAATAGTTCTTTCCCACACTAAAGGCATTAAGTCCACAGTCTTGTACCTTTTGTCATTTCGTCCAATTTTCAAAATACTGTCTTAACATCGAAGTTTGTAATGTTATGATTCACCTCATAGCTTGGTGCATGGCTTATAACAGTTAAACAAAGACTTTTTTTTAAAATCCCTATGGGAAAATGAATGGAAAAAAATCTTCCAGAACCAGCGATAAGTCTTTATCGTTATAGTTATAGTCCTTGATATGAATGGGCATTTATTCCCATTTTGCCGTAGCTATCAAATCTCACTTGTGGCCAAAATAACACCGCAAACAATGCCCTTTGGCATGAGTGACGTCAAACCTTTTACATGAACACAAGTGTGAAAGACGTGGCAATACGGAGCATGGCATGGACAATAGGGAAGTAGTCATATAGGGAAGTAGGCAACTTTGTTGCCTTTTTGGAGACTTTTGGGCAGTATAAATCCACTTGTGTTTGTATGTAAAACAGAAGGTTGTACATTGTTCAAAATGATTCATGAGGGTGAGAATTTGTATTTTTGGGAGAACTATTTCTCTATGGAACAAAATGCATACATCCTCACAAATCCTGGATGAAATGTAAATTTCCCGCAAACAGATCCTCGTTTTCATAGTCACATTTTAGACACACAATGTCCTGAATGTGACCCTGCTCAGGTTGGTCTCCAAACCTTTTTGGTGTACCTTCAGTTTAACTTGTTCACATTGTATTAAAAGGGGGGTTTCGCTCAGTTCACTCATCTTCTTCAACTCTTGGGACATCTTTTTCTTAGTATCTTATCGGTAAAATAAGCAAAATGACACTGTTCGGGTGCAATTCCCCTTCATGTAACAAACCACCGTTGTGCTGACATGACAGTAAGATGATGGTTGATCACACTTTTATCAATGCAAATTCTCACTCAATTGGGAGAGATGCTATGTATCTATGTATAGGTTTTATTAACAGCTGACTCTTGTCAAATGAAGACATTCTAGACTGTTAAAATATTTAATAGAAAATTACTTTTTAATATAATTTTTATGTAGCGGTCTTATGGGGAAAAAAATAAATAAAACTAAATAAACCAACCAAGAGAAAAGAAAACAACAGAGATGTGAAGGTATTACTAATTGCTATTTTGTTCTGTAACATATTTTTTAACAGAAAACTCAATCTACATGGCTAAGCTGAATATTTATTTTCTTATGTAAATCATATTTATAATGCTATTTTCACAGAGAAGTGATTCTTTGTAAATTGTAAATAATTCTGTTGTTTTTCCTTGTGTTGAATGCATGTATGTGTCCCTGAGAGAAAACATTACAGTTATTCCAAACAAACATTTCATATTGCCTTTTCATTTAACATGTTTAACTCCCAAAGCCCCAATCTCATGGTGTTAGTGAATTATGAACCCATTTTGCTTCCAAAATTGGTCAATATATCATATTATTGAGTGCAATAGGACTTGTTCTATGATTGATTGAATGGTGAAATGTGGATATAACAGTAATTGGAGGCAAGTGTTTGGAGAGAAAGGGTTTAATAACTAATACACTGTGCATCTATTAGTAGCTTAAAGGTACACAAGTGTAGATATTAGCAGTGTTGGGGCTAACACATTACTTTTACATTTACCTCAAAATATTTGAGTAACTTTTTCAAATTGACACAAGTTATTGTTTTTTCTCCCATGTATTGACTGACAGCTCTCCTGTCCCCATGCTGAGATATATCGTGGGTAAGTTAGGCGTTGTGTGTGCTGTGTGTGAACATGACGGTTATTGTAGATGTAGACTACAATAATGTGAGCAGGTATTCAAACAGATTTAGTATTCCTCAAAATGAATAACGAACTGTATAAGTAACTGCAACTACATGTCAACTAACTCTCATTAGAGTATCAGTAGACTGGTAGGGTTAGGTGTTTACAATGTACTTGTAAAGTGTCTTATAGTCAGTACAATGTCAGATATTAAGCAGACAGTCTAGACAGTTTAAAGCAGACTAATACTCTAAACTTCTATTAACTATAAATAACTACATGTCAACTAGCAGTCATTAAAGTCGACTATCGAAATAAAGTGTTGCCAAATACTGTAAAAGCAAACTCAGAATATTATGCATACCTGCAATACTTAAATATGTGAAATTACACAAATATACTTCATGCATTTAATCTCACTTTATTAGCGACTGTCTTGATTGATTTTCAATGATCCAATTCAACTTTACAAATAAGCAAACATTACTTTAGATAAACATCGCATTTGTTTATTATTATTTATTTATTTATTTGCAAAAGTAAGAGTGTTAAACTTCTCCTGCATCCTCTTCTTCTCTGATCCAGAATGGCAGAACATCTGAAAGGTTTGTTTGAGCGGCGCCCTCTACTGTACAGGAGTGAATGTGCATTTCCTTCAGCCTGAGGCTTATTTATTTCACTTTTGGTGTGAAAGGCAATTTACATTTGCTAAACTTTTTTTGTTATTAAAAAACAAGCAAGCAACTAAGCCCGAGTAAATAAGTAACTCGATAAGTTAATGTTTGAGGGAGTAACACAATATTGTAATGCGTTACTTTTAAAATTAACTTTCCCCAACACTACCTTTTGGATGATACTGGGCCAGTGACAGTTGTTGGGACATTTTGATTACTGTAGATGAAGCATTTAAATATAGTATCTAATTATGAAAAGCAACAACTTATACAATAAAATACAATAAAAGAATGCATTGGCTAATGTTTTTGTAGGCACTTTTTAAAAATTGTGTTTTTGATCTGAATAGTCCTATACAAAACTGACAAGCAATCTTTCATCAGCTGTTCAATCTTGGGCCATTACAATGCACTTTTCCTTTGAGCCAGGCAGATGTGCCAGGGCCTATACCTTGTAATACACACACACACACATACACACACAGATTGCAACCATATGAAAGACGACTCCCTGCACTGTTGCTTGACGCAGACATTTGGATTCCCACCCCATTCCACAGTGGAATATAGGGCTCTATTTATAGAGCTGGTGGAGCCCGTGGCCCTGAGCTCGGCAGAACACACTCATTAAAACCGCTTTCCCTAGTACACTTCAACTCGAAGCCCAGTGCCAGTGTGTGTGTGAGAGTGGAAACAGTGCTAGAGAGAGAGAGCAAGAGTTCTAAAGGTTATCAGTGATAAAAGTTGTCTGAAGAAATTGGGAACCTACGGAGACCATCTCATGTGGGATATTTACGGGAGCTTGCTCGTCTTCTGTATTATGAAGAGACGCTTCAGCTGTAGCAGGTGACATTCGACTCGCAGGGAACTTTCTGCATAGATCGACTGAGAAACACCAAGAGAAGACCTGCGAGAAGAAGGTGACTATGTTAAGACTCCAGCTGTAAGGGAGCCGTTTGAATTTGATTGATTGGAACTTTGGAACTTTGGAACTTTGGAAGTAAACAACAGCGATGATTTGATTTGAATTTAAAAGACAATTCTCTTGTGCTCAAACTGTTGCTTTGCTATATTTTGCTCGTCTGTCTTTTGGAAATCTAAAAGCACTGTCCGTTCACATCCAGAGTTTCAGCTGTAATCCGATCCCACACACTCGACAGTAATTATAAAGCAGGGCTGGGAAGCAGTACAGGAGATTTGTCATTAAGGCACCCTAAATAAAGACTCAGGCAAAAGGGCGAGGTTTGTGGATTTCGGTCATCTAGATCCACCTAAAAACGGCTCATGGACCCCCAAGGAGGTCATTACCTAAACAAGGCAGCGGTGCTGTCGGGACTCGGTGCTGCCCGGATGCTCCAGCTTCTCCTGGGCTGCACCACGATGGCCCTGGTGGCCCACAGCGCGGGATTCAGCGCCACCTACGGCACCTTCTGCATGTTCGTCTGGTGCTTCTGCTTCGCCGTCACACTGTTGGTCTTCACCCTGGACGTGACGAGGCTTCACGGGTGCATGCCTATCTCCTGGGACAACTTCACCGTGGCCTTCGCCATGCTCGCCACTCTCATGTACGTCACGGCGTCGATAGTGTATCCCGTGTACTTCCTCAGGTCGGAGTGCCCATCCGAGGGATGCGAGGTGAGGAACTACCGAATCGCAGTCACCGTTTGCTCAAGCGTCTGTTGCTTCGCCTACGGAGCCGAGGTGTTTATCACACGGGCCAAACCGGGGCATGTGGTCGGATATATGGCCACCGTATCCGGCTTGCTTAAAGTGGTCCAAGCCTTCATAGCCTGCATTATCTTCGGCGCCCTGGCCAACGACAGCGAATACAACCGGCACATCCCGACTCAATATTGCGTGGTCGTCTACAGCCTGTGCTTCGCCGTGACCGTAGTCGTCGTGGCGCTCACCGTTTCTGGGAGGACGTCTTCGTTACGCTTCCCCTTCGACCGCTTCGTGGTCGTCTACACCTTCCTGGCGGTGCTTTTGTATCTGAGCGCTGCCGTGATCTGGCCGGTGTTCAGTTTCGATAAGAAGTACGGATCCCCGGGGAGACCGGGAGACTGTCCGAGAGGAAAGTGCCCTTGGGACAGCAAGTTGGTGATCGCCGTGTTCACCAGTGCCAATCTGGTGCTGTACGTCACCGATCTGGTGTACTCTCAAAGAATACGGTTCGTCTCGCATTCATCAGCATAAAGCCATCTCTTCTCCAATCCGGTGGATTTATGAATACCGGAAATTAGTTACATACAGACATGCCAATTAAAACAGCTGTGTGTACTAGTATAATTTCTGTTTTTTGGGGTTTTTTTTGTCATTTTTGTTGGTTAGAATGAAAATGTTTGGACTTTTGAACTGCTGGGATTGAATTTTTCATTGTGTTAATGAATAGTTACTTTGCTTAGTAGATTCGTTGCATACTAATGTAGAAATAACTTCTGTGCCAATGCCTCTCTGCAATTCATTGTCACTGTAACCCTAAAACAAGGGTGTCCATCCAAAGCCCACGTCCTGGAGAGTTTAGCTGTAATCAGCTCCAACACACTTGCCTGGATGAGTCTGAACATAGATACCCATAATAAAGGCTAGATGTCTTACGGCGGAGTCTCTATGGTCATCACCGGCGACCATCTTGTCACAGGCAAGCTTTCTGGCGGGCTCTGTGGTGCCTGATGTAAGATGAGTGATCAGCACGAACATAAATACTCTTATCTCATTGAAATCTTGACGGATTTACAAACGGTTTAGTTTCTTACAAACGTAATAAACGTGGCAATAATTCTGGATGATTATTTATTGATACACTTATTATTCATACGTGTGCAGTGTCGTAACTACATCTCTGACGTTTATAACAAACCAAACCGTTTGAAAATTGGTAGAAAATTTAGCAAGTTATGGTTATTTAAAAAGTACATGCACCATTAAAACACAATGTTACGAGTGAGCGAGCTGCCTGTGACAAGATGGCCGCCAGGTGCGGACGTCGACCTCCATTGGCCAGCAGCGCGGACGAGACATCTAGCCTTTATTATGGATATCTATGAGTCTGAAGACCATCATTCTTCCTTTTCTTTTAGTTTTATGGCGGACTGCATTCACGACTTATCAGGTGCATACCGCCACCTAGTGTACCGGTCCGGAGTATGCAATATGGGTAATGATTCAATGATCTACTTTACTTATTTTTAAAAAAAAATCTTTCCTACTATTTTACTATTACACATATATTTATATCCCTAGATCTTATAATATAACCCTATACTCCACAACATCATTCTGTGTATCCCCTTCTCCTGATGTTCCCAATACACCCTCAAGGTTTCATTGCCTTCCTGCCTGACTTATCTTTTGGTTTAATTTAATCATCTCTTCTCTATATTTCTTACAATCTAGCAGTGTATGCTCTGCATTTTCTGTAATTTTGCACTCCAAACATTCATCTGATTGACTTTTACCCATCACAGCCAATGTTTTATGACCTCAGTCTGGTTAAAACTATCTCCTCCCTTCGGTTCCTTCGGATAACACCCTGCGTATTGATAGATTTGTGTATACTATGATAGTTGAAGACCATCATTAGCTGGTTCCGGTGTGTTTAATTGGGGTTGGAGCTGAACTCTGCAGGACAGTGGCCCTCCAGGGCTGCGTTTAAGGCCTTGTCTGACTTTTTCGTTTGAAAACGCATATTTTTCTCTCCATTTCCACCTTTTGTCCACACTGAGACGGCGTTAGTAGCAATGAAAACAGAGCTTTTTGCTCTCCAGAGTGGATCAATTTGAAATTTTGATGCATGTTTAGTCATGTGACGCATATTGTACCAATAGATATTCATGTTGTGCTATTCACTTTCACACAGTTGGTTAAAATATGTTACTTTGCACACTCTTCATATCACAGTCCTGCAAAGATGATAGAAAATGTCCTCACATTTGCTGTCCTGTGACAAAACACGAGAGCAGTCGCGTTATACACCAAACATATAATGAGTGAGAGCGACCTAGACACATCACTGAATATTTTGCTAAATAAAATGATCCTGTCAGAAGAATTGTGCGATAACTTTTATTATTTATTTTTCCGTCTGTATCATCTCAGTGAGGTTTTACGCATGCACAGTAAAGATGAATTTAGCATTTTTCACCGTTTCAGTGTGGATGAGAGACTTTTGGGAAACGCCTGAAAACGCTCGTGGACGGAGAGCGTTTTTAAGTGTATCCGGATTAATGTAGACGTAAGTCTTTTTATGCCCTTTCCTTGCTAAATTCCCTCTGTCTTGTTCACATCATTGCTTACGTTGCACGAGTGCTCACTTGCAATGGGTTTAAATGGGACACACTGAGCCCTTGATCACTTGTGGGTATATTAAATGAGCACTTGCTGTTGTGACGTCACAATCGTGTGGCATTGTGGTCTTTGGATCTGTCTGAAGTGCATGTGAGTAGACTCACTCCCTCGGACAAAATCAAGGGGTCGAGGGTCTGTCCAAATAAACCTCCCTCATCAGGGAAGTGTGTCTAATAGTGGAGTTAAACGCAGCCCAGGAGCAGGTTTGGACACCCAACGAGTAAAAATCTGTCGTGTCGTCCTAAAGCTGCATGACTTTTTTTTCTTTCCTTCTGAGGAACAAAAAACGAGATATTTTTAAAAAGGTCAGTAACCAAAATATCTTCTTTTATGTTCCACAGAAGGCCATACAGTTTTTGAATGACGTTGGGGTGAATAAATGATGAGAGAGTATACATTTTTGGATGAACTATTTTTTTTAAGATTTGTTTTTGATGTCTACTAAACACTAAGATTGTTGTGGATTAGTACGGTTATTATGGATAAGTAAAATTAATGTGTATTTTCCTCTAATTTACGTATACATACTGTTAAATGTTATTTTAATTATAGGCATTGTTATTATTTGATTACTTGTATATGGAAATATCTAAGCATGAGATAACTGAGACCTCTGATTAGAAAAAGGGAATATATCACTTCTTTATGTATTGTCCACATATCATGCAGTTTTTTCATCAATGGCCTTAATTGTCATGGTGCTCAGATCCAGTCAATCTACTCAGGCTTCAATATAAGTTATGTTTTTGTATAGTATGTAACAATATATTGTTACTTATTCACAACATAGGCTATTTAAATAAATCAAAATATGTTGGTAATTAAACTGGATTCTTTTGTGTCTATATCAGTTTCTTTCTCTTTCTCACCACCTCCAAATACAGCACACAAAAATGGCCATTCATATAAAGTAAGACAATTTTCTGTACAAATATGTGTGAGTGGGTGCACTGTAAAAACTTTGGGTGTTAACTTAAAAAAGTAAGTAACCTGGTTGCCTTAAAAGCGACCGAGTTCATAAGACCGACTTAAGAGTTCATTGAAAAAAAAAGAAAAGTTAATACAATCTAGGAGATTGGTTTAATCAACAGAAACTATCTTTGTTATCTGAACCACATTAATTATCTAAAGTTGATTTGACAAAAGAAAAAAAAAAGTTGTGATAAATCATGAAAATAATGTAAACTATATTATTTTCATGATTTATCACAACTTTTTTTTTCTTTTGGTGGTTATAATCGACACTTTTATGAAAATGCTTATTTATATGTCCTAAGTAGCTAGCTAAATCTGAAGAAGAGAACATTTTATTTTGGGGTAAAGGTTTATAGAAGGAGTTTTAAATTAGGGGTTTGTGGTAATGATTATATTTAGCTTCAAATGAAAACAGACTCTAATTTAAAGTCTCCAATAAAGTAAGCTACCGATAGTTAAACAGAGAGCAAGAAAATAGTCTTGACATATACATATCAACGAAAAGTAAAAATGGTAAATAAGAAATCTGGTGAATTTATCAAACAAAATGCGAATACAACGCTGCAAAAGTGGATACAGCTTTGCTGTTGACTTTAGCCCACGTGCTCATAAAAAGTGACGCAACAGCATTCTCTGTCAGCAGAGCTGGCCTATCAGGACACATAAAGTACAGGGATTGGCTGAGGCACGAGCAGTGCTCTACCGTGATTGGTCAGAGCCTTCTACTACTCCACGTCATGAATGAATGGCAGTTTAACTAAACGACAACAGACAACGTGAACACGATAAACAAACGTGAAACAAGCTAAATATATGTGAACCAGTTCTTCAAAAGATCGTGTTCTAGGTACGTTTGTTTAAACATTTAGTTGTCTGTGTTCATCTCGTTGTCTGTGCTGCGTCACAGCTGGTTCAGTCCGATCAGGAAATAGAAAAGTGTTCAGTAAGCAGACTCTGTCCAGATATTACCTCAGCTGATCTATATTAGAGTTTGTATAATGATTGTTAACTTGTGTATTTGTGTTTGCTGGTGAATGGTCATCGTGTGGTTGTTAGTAGGTCAAAATGAGCGTTGGCTTCATCGGAGCGGGTCAGTTGGCGCATGCGCTGGTGAAGGGCTTCGCGTTGGCAGGTAACGTTACAGCATTTACACACACCGACCGCTAGAGGCGCCAAAACACTAATCATCTGGAACAAAATAAGATTTTCTGTATTAAATACACTTAAATATGCCCATTATTCATTTTTTAAATGTCTGAAGTAGGCATCGTTTTATTAAATAAGCACATTATATCAAATCATATAGACACACTGTAATGATCTCTGTCTTGGTAGTTGGTAATTATCAGAACTATTTATTTTCAAAAAGTTGTTTATGAAAATGAAAACAGACTCTAATTTAAAGTCTCTAATAAAGTAAGCTACTGATAGTTAAACAGAGAGCAAGAAAATAGTCTCATAAAAGTCTTCTATATAGATCAGTGACTAAAACCTAATGTATGTAAATCAACACACTTGCTCTTTTTATGATAAAACCGCCAATAAAATGCTAGTGAAAAAATATTTTTCAAAAGTTTATATTCTCCCAAGCAATATCAAAGCAGAGTACAATTAGAAGTCTCTTATTTTAACATGATTAAATGTTATCTTATTATATGTGCATGCAAAGAAGTAGAAATCTTTTGTTACAATAGCCTACACTACCGTTCAAAAGTTTGCGCTCAGTCTTTTTTCTTTTATTATTATTATTTTTTTATAAGAAATTGATACTTTTATTCAGCACATATGCGTTAAATTGATAAAAAGTTAGAGTTAACAATTTATATTGTTAGAAAAGATTTCTATTTTGAATAAATGCTGTTTTTTTTCTATTTATACATCAAAAGATGCTGAAAAAAGTATCATAGGTAATAAAAAAATGTAAGCAGCACAACTGTTTTCAACATTGATCATCATATTAGAGCGATTTCTGAAGGATCATGTGACACTGAAGACTGGAGTAATGATGCTGAAAATTCAGCTTTTCGACACAGAAATAAATTATATTTTAAAATATATTCAAATAGAAAACCCTTATTTTAAATTGTAATACTATTTCACAATATGTTGTATTTTTGTCTGTATTTTTGATCAAATAATTGCAGACGTCTTACAAAAACATTAGTAACGTGTCCAAACTTTTGACCAGTAATATAACTAATATATACTATAACTTTCGGCTATTATGACTATATATGCGTGTAGTACCTCGACTTAAAAACTAGATACACCCTTTAACATAGAATCACATTCTCATCAATACTTTAAGGAAGCTTTTCCGTTCCCCTCTCCTGTCCATCAGGTGTGATCGCCACGCACAGGATAACAGCGAGCTCTCCCGACAAAGACCTGCTGACCGTCGCCGGGCTAAGAGTGAGTGTTTCATCTGACACATGTGAGAGTCTGATGAACATCTTTAAACACACACTTTCTCTGTACTTCAGAAAATGGGAGCATCCTTCACGACCAGCAATAAAGAGACTGTGAAGAAGAGCGATGTCCTGTTCCTCGCGGTCAAGCCACACATCATTCCCTTCGTTCTGGACGAGATCGGGCCAGACATCGAGGACCGTCATCTCATCGTCTCTTGTGCAGCGGGAGTCACCATCAGCTCCATAGAGAAGGTCTGAGAGCTCTCGATCCACGAGCCGAAGTGATGATGCTTTAACACGTCCAACACTTTTCAGTTAGGAAAAAATAATGGCAACACAAGTTAAAATGCATATAATATTTGCAGATTCCTTTTCACATCTGAAATGTGTTGATTGTCATGTGTTTTAATGCTTTATGTATGTGTTCAATGAATAGATAAGTATTATAATGTATTATAACTGTGGTTACAATTATTCATGAGATCATACATAAGCCTATATATTTTCATGGCTACAAGACACTCAAAAAAGTTGGGACAGAGGCAAAATTAAAGAGAAAAGATTATAAATATATAATATATAGGTGAACTGGTAATAGGTGAGGGTACCGTATCATTTTTTTTAAGCAAATTCATCAAAATAATTTATATATTATATAAATCTGCGCAGTGTAAAAAAACAAAAACATTTTTGAAGTTCAAATGAAAGGTTCTTCATTTGATTTTTTTTCTTTTTATTTGAACTTGATGAACACAAACCAGGTTATCATAATAAATGAATCAGTCTGGCAAAAACAGCTTCATGTTATCATGTAGCTAACACTTGATTTAAAAACAAAAGGCTCAACACAGTAAAACCAGGATTCTGCCCTCTTAATGCACACAATATACACAATCCTGTGATCGCTCATCCTGTGTTTCGATTCACATGTTCCTGTCCTGTAGAAACTGCTGCAGTATCGCCCGGCGCCTAAAGTGATCCGCTGCATGACGAATACCCCAGTGGTGGTGCGTGAAGGGGCCACGGTGTACGCCACCGGCACCCATGCAGAGGTGGAGGATGGGAAGCTCCTGGAGCAGCTGATGGCCAGTGTGGGATACTGCACCGAGGTGGAGGAGGACCTGATCGATGCCGTCACTGGCCTCAGCGGCAGCGGCCCAGCCTATGTGAGCATCAGCACACCGCAGAAACGCTTTTCTTACTTAGTATTTTTAGTATCTAAAAAAAAAAAAAATCTTAAATCAAGATGCATTTACTTTAGTAGTAAAATGCCTTAAGATTTTATGTCTTGTTTTCCGGGGGAATTAATTCAAAATTAAGTGAGTTTTTGCTTAAAACAAGCTAAATTATCTGCCAAGAAAAATAATCTTATTTCAAACAGAAATAAGATTAATTTTCTCAACCCATTGGCAGATCATTTAGCTTGCTTTAAGAAAAAACGTACTTAATTTTGATTAATTCCCCCCGGAAAACAAGACATAATTTCTTATGGCATTTTACTGCTTAAGTAAATACATCTTGATTTAAGATGTTTTAGATATTTGGACTGGAAACAAGACAAAAATACTAAGTAAGAAAAGCATTTTTTGGCAGTGTGCTTTCACACTTGAGCGTCTGTTTCGGAACCTAGTGCGTTTTCTCCCTTGGTTCGGTTCGTTTAGGCATATATATGAACACAGCGATCGCGCTCGGATTCGCACCAAAACAGTCGCTCTGAGATCGCCTGAACAAGGTGGTCTCGGCCCGATTGCAAACGAACTCGGGGGTGGTTCGCTTGAGGTGAGAAAGCAATCCGGAAAACGGACCAACGAACCAAATAATATTGTATTTCATAACGGGAAATGCGCTATATACATAGCAATAGTGTCTGATTCTGTGAGTGAGAGCATTAGTTATCACGGTTGAAAACCAAAAGAGCACATCTTCATCTCACAGTGTTGTGTGATTGCGCTTCTCAGTGTGAGAATGCTGTCGTGATGAAGCCTTGATCAAAGTCCCTTTAAATTGCACTTTTCCCCATTCAAAACAATACGAGTGACGCGTCTGGTGTAATTCTCTAGTCTTTGCCTTGATTCCTGCTCTAGCAGCATTATAACATTCGTATAGTGTTTGCGTGTGTCTCAACAGTTACGAACTTGTCAATCATCTTGATGAATGACGCAGATGAAACTCTTGACTAATAAGAGGACAGTTGTGCTCGCATGTGACTTACGTGAACACATTTCGGTACGCTGCCTAGTGAAAGCGAACCATACCAAGAAGAAAAATGCAACATTGTAACAAATTAAGTCCCTGTTTTGGAACAAAACAAACACCCTAAGAATATGCAAGACCAAGAGTTGAGCTCTTTTGTGGCTTCCTTTGTCCAAAAGCACCTCTGACTGTGAATATCTATGTATTGTTTTATCCTAGGCGTTCCTCGCTGTGGACGCTCTTGCTGACGGAGGGGTGAAGATGGGATTGCCCAGGAGACTGGCTGTGCGACTGGGAGCTCAGGCTCTGCTTGTTAGTGCTTGACAGTCTATGAAACATTTCTCATATTGATAATATGATAAATCTTTCTGTGTCTAAGATTTACAGTACAATGTTTTTTTTTTTTTTTTTTTTTGCTAGGGTGCGGCAAAAATGCTCCTGGACTCGGAGCAACACCCCGGAGAGCTAAAAGACAACGTGGCTTCACCCGGAGGTGCTACGATCCATGCTTTACACGTCTTGGAAAGTGGCGGTTTCCGCAGCCTCCTGATCAACGCTGTGGAGGCGTCGTGCATTAGAACCAGGTACTGCAATTTCATTTCTGATGTGGGATTTTCAGCTGTAGAAAGGGTCAACAGCTTGCAGTTTATTTGACAAATATAATGTAAAAACATGCATCTACACATAAGTGCATAAGTCATGTTTACTATAGATGTTAGTCGTTAAAGATAAAAGTTGGTCCATTTATGTTATTTATTTTCAAGTGTTTGTCTGCATATATATGTCTGCAGATTGTAACCCGCAGCTAACCCGTTTATGGCATAATAACGTTGGTACATGTGATCTATTTGTGTCTAGGACCAGATTACAGAAGATGTGTTCGACTCGCTGGAGTGTAGGGAATTTATAACAGAAAATAAAAAAAAGAAACCAACTCAGACTCATAGGTAACTGTTTATTACTAGGAAATTAAATTGATTGTTGATTGAGTAAATTAAATCCCTTGATCCAAGGGAAATTCAGAGAGAGAAAAAAATAGCACAGTTCAAGGTGAGTGTGTTTTGTCCTAACCAGGACCGGTGGAAGCATTGGGCAAACTGGGCAATTTCCCCCGGGCACCAGACACTAGAGGGCGCGACGAGCACGGGCGTCTCAAACTTGTGAAGAACTATCTTCGAGGCTACGTTTACAGGCAACCAAATAATCCGTTACTAATCGGATTGACGGCTCAATCGGTGTGTTATTGTAAACACCTTAATCGATCCGAATGAAAATTCTATCCAAATGAAAGGAGTTGTTTATTCCTTTTCTAATTTCGATCGAAAGGAAGAATCAGATTGAAAATCGAAACTGAAAGGACTGCACATGTGCAATGACGTAGAAAAAGCATAACGACGTATGACGTGCGGAAACAGCTGTTGTTCCTGTTGAATAAAGTGTCTTATAATTGAGTGTCCCGTCTTCCTAAAATCCTCCTTTCACTGCGTCTGTGAAGTGGAGCAGGACAACCGCCCACCAGTGCTGGTTTCAGGCTCCCATCCACAGACGACTGGTTTTGGGCATTTTAACTGCGTGATAAATATAAGCAGCGGCACAATAGTTCATATGCTCATTATACCCAAATTATGATCAGAAATGGATATTAAGTCTGCTGTTTAAAACAAATAAAGAACCAATGTAGGAGAATGGTTATTATGCGCAAACAGAGGAAAACTCTATATTTCAATTAAGCACCAAATCTGTCGTAAATTGGATTAACGTTACTCCAAGATAATTGAAGAGTTTGCAACAGCCAAAGCAAGAAAGGTCCTCTTTTAAATGGTGAGTCAACTATATTAATTCATTACACCTGTCTTAAGTCAACAGTAGGGGTCAAATTGTGATAAATTGGAGTTTTTTTCTCTTAAAAATTTGAACGTATGGGGCAGCATATTCCTATTTTGCCCAGAGAGCTGGATTGTCTTCCCCCGGACCTGGTTATAACAGTTCAGCCAAATGATTGTTCTTTTTACTGCCAGGTACGATCAGGTAGAGATGATTGGCTCGCCATGTCCAAACCACAGACAGAGCATCCATGGCAGGGACAGATCAGGATTCAATAGGGCAATAAACAGGTTGACATAAGAAATAGAAGAAAAACCCGGCCTTGCAGAAACAAGGCCAAAAATAATTCAGCTGTTCAATAAACTGTTTAAATTAAATAAATTGTCTGTTTCATCACTCAATTTCATGCACTTAACATACATGCTACTCAACCACGTTCACTCTTAGTAAATTGAAACTTATGTGCACAGCTAGCAAAGCTAGCATCACATGAAACACATTTCTTCATAAATAAAATAACTACTTCAACAAATATACATATTCTGAACAATAAACATTATTTACACAGTTATTATGAACATATACTGTAGATTAGAATAGATTACCATTTTCAGATGCATTTCTTACACATTACATTTCAAAAGATAACTCTCAATATTTCAAAACCACTTAATACATATATTACAGCGAGAATGGTACTCGGCAAGTAAAAGGTAAGTGAAATCGGAAAATAAAATAAAGTTTTCTTTTGATTCGGTCTTAATCCAGATAGTTTCCGTCTTTCATGTATATTTCTAACTTTTCCCGTTTGTCTCAATCTCTCTTTCAGTCGGCTTCTATTACCCTTGAAGCGTGACTTCTTAGGATATTTTTCACTAAAATAAAACTATTTTTAGATTATTTAAATTCTCTTTTAAGAGCTATGAACACAAATGCATCAGTCTGGGTCTTTTTCCTTCTTTGTCACTCTCTACTGCTCTCATTCTGTTTCTTCACGCTCTACTCCAAACTCACTTACCGGAGGCGGGACTAACCGACCTCATCCACTAAAAACATCCTGGTTGCGTATGCAACCCACCGTTCCCTGAAGGAGGGAACGGAGGACGTAGTCGACGTCGACTGAATCATCTTCGAGTACTATTGAACGAGCCAATGGAATTGGCGTGCGTGACTTGCATCACACACTCTGCCCCCGCGGCGCAAGTATAAATACGGAAGTGGATAAATGCACTAGTTGCTTTTCGCTGAGGAGCCGAGCGTAACTTGGAGTCTGCGGTGGTCCAGTAGTAGTGCCAAGGGGACTACGTCCTCCGTTCCCTCCTTCAGAGTTAGGAACCTTGGGCACATATCCAGGCCGGGGTCTCAGCTCGTGAGAGTTAGCCAGCCCAAATTCTAGGCACAACTCGTTGACCGAGCAATATGATGTGCGTCAAGAAAAACAGAAGCAACATCATTTTGAGGGTGGAGGAGAACAGCCTACTCCAACCCATCTTGCAGGGAAGAGAGCATTGAAATGACCGAACGCTCTCAGGATCTCCTCACGGAGAGAAGACTCACTCAACGAATAGGTTCCACTTCTATTTGGCGTAAGCACAACTTCCTTTTTTTAGGGGGTGCTCAGAGAAGTGATGGTAACTACCACATATTCCTGCGGTAGACACCTGAACCTCCACGTCCAGTTTTTAGGACCGGCCTGGAATCTCTCCAGGGGTCTGAACGCGGGTGCCATCATGCCCCGCCCCTGAAATGTATTCAGGGGAAGTCAGGAAGGCTGTCGAGGGGAACTAGGTCTGGTTGGGCCAATAAGGGGCAACTATCAAGACCTGCTCCACTCCTGACCTAGCACAGTAAGTGCAAGCGACATGCGCGCACAAGACAGGAGCAATGCTCAACACTAAATGTGAAGATCACTGAGCTTCAGGAGCATGTCTGCTCAACACGTAAGTGTGATGAAAATCATTGAACTTGAGCAGGCGCCAAGCGTCAATTAATCGCATAGCCGTTTTTTTAGAAGGCACAGTGGGGAACGGATTTCTGCGGAGCCCCGGGGCCAGCTGGGAGCCAGTGTCTGTCCAAGGGTTGTCCACTCAGACAGAAATAACATAACTGGCAGAGGGACGAATCTGGAGAGCCAAACAGATGTAACTATGCGGCCCCGAAGTGGTCCCTGCTCAGCTGGACCGCCAGGGGATGGATTCTCCACTCTCCCTGGCCATAGCTGTCATGAGGCTCATTGGCGGCACGATTGAGCAGGTCGGAATAAATAGTGGAATGAAGCGACCTCAGAAGCTTCTGACTCCAAGGAGGAGGTGACAGGTGAGTTGTGACATGTGAGGGAAGCTTAGCGCATCGGTCGCGATGTTATCTTTTCAGACCAGTACCAGCTCGTTGAGCAGCGGTGGCTCAAAGCGAGGTGAACTGCAACAGGTTCTAGGTTCAGGTTTAACAGTTCTAGGAGCGGTTTGGCCCAGAGAAAGGAAAGGTCTGATCACGGGCTGAGGGTTTGGCGGCAGGCCGAGGTGATCTGTCACCTGGGGACTCGATCATGAAGCTAGTGCTGAGGCGGTCTTCGTATGGAGGAAGCCAAGCAGCTGCATCTGCCATATGCCCTAGGAACCTCTGAAAGTTCTTTCAGTGGGACTCTTTCTCACTTCTATATAGCACCAGCTGAATACACTCTCTTCTTGAAGAGACGTGTTGGACCGAGTCCTTCTCCATACTGAAAAAGAGATACTCAGCCCGTGGGAGAGATTACTTTCTCCCAGTTGACCTGAAGACCCAACTGGCTATGGAGCACTTGAAGGGTAGGACTCTGTACTGATACTTCGATCCCTCACACACAACACACAGGATGGCCTGCGGTGCGGAAGGTAGAGATCTGAAGTACATGTCATTCAGGTCAGATGCTGCAGACCAACTTGGGCCAAGATGGTCACGACCCGCCACATAGGTACCATAAAGAACGAGTTTACAACAACTGGCCTTCATATCGGCTGGAGGAGCGACTATATCAAGTCCTTTGCCAGTAGGACAGAGATATGCGCGCACAAGACAGGAGCACTGCTCAACACTAGGTGTGATGAATATCACTGAGCTTTCAGGAGCATGTCTGCTCAACACGTAGTGTGATGCCTATCACTGACTTGAGCAGAGCCGATAAGCCGAGTCTGACGGTCACAGTGAACTGGGGAATGACCGCGGCAACACTGAACAGTGAACTGAAACAGTGAAGAACTCACTTTTCCGCCCCCTCTAACCAGCCGTCAACATACACAAACATTTCTAAATTTGTTGCTGTTAAAACAGCAGTTGAGAGCTCAAAGCTCGCGATCACCGCTGCACTCGCACTGTAGAAACCACCAGCACTGGGAGAGTCTTCCAGAAGAACACAGACACACTCGCTCGTTGTAAACAGCAGCACTCTGAGCACTTTAGATACATCAAACGATCAGCTCCGAAGCGAAAGGCAACCAGTGCGTGCATCCACTTCCGTATTTATACCTGCGCCGCGGGGGTGGAGTGTGTGTTACAAATCACACACGCCAATTCCATTGGCTCGTTCAATAGTACTCGAAGACGATTGGCTCCCTGGCGTGATCCCCATTTAGTCGACGTCGACTACGTCTGACGTTCTCGACTGAAAGGGAACATTATTTGGCCAATTTCTTTTTCTAGATTTACATTTGTAATATAAATTATCTTAAATCTGCTTTCTTTTGTTATTCATACTTAACCGATATTAATACAAATTAAATGCTTATAATTACTAGTGATCTAGTCAGTGACCTTGTTTACAAGATCTATTCCCAAAACTCCCATTTTAATTTGATGGGCTGTTTAAACAGTTTTGTCTCCAAAAGGACATTTCAAGCAAACTCTTTTCTGACAGGGAGCTTCAGTTCTTGGCTGACCAGGAGAAGATTTCTCCAGCTGCCATAAAGAAGACCACTTTGGACAAGGTGCTTCAGCAGTCGGGTTCAACGGCAGCAGGTGGCGGGGTCAGGACCGGCCTCAACCTCTTTAATAGCACCAACCCCAAACACAAGAAAACCTGAACCTGGTCACCACCATATCCAGCTTACAGCAAGGATGAGACCACTTCAAGAATTGCAGACAAGATGCTAAGACCAAAAATGCTATAAGTTGTTCTCATAAACTTGTTATCGAGCTTTTTTCAAAACCTGTGCTGTTCAGTTGTCTATATTGTTTTCTGTTTTTTTTTTTTTTTTACCTTTTTGGCTAGTATGGACCAGCTCTAAGAAGTTAGTTTATCTTGATATACACTGTACATCATGCACTGCACTGTAAAAAACATGTTTAGTTTGCTTAACTTAATATTCCGAGTAAATGTAAAAAGATAACTCAAAAAGTTATGTATTTTCAACTTGACAAATTTAGTTATGCGAACTTTTAAAGATTTGTAAAGCTGAAAGTACTTTAATATTCTAAATACAACTTAACTGAGTCCGTGGAAATGAATAAATCTGAAAGTTAAGTTGAGTGAACAAAAACACTTTTACAGTGAACTTTTGCACTGAAAACGTAAAAAAGTTCACCTTACTTTCACAATTATTCTAACTAAACTTAAAAGTTGTACATACTTAATATGTTAAGTAAATAGAACTTTACGGAGTCAGTGCAAAAAAATAATAACTCAAAAAGTTCAATTGGGTGAACAATATCTTTTTCTTTTTTTTACAGTGTGTGTTGATTTATTAAACAATGTCTGATCTAGTCAAAATAAATGTCACATCATGTTTTTGCAAAGCCTTATCTGGACTGACCTGAATGAAATGAATTAAAGTGTTTCCTATCTTTATCTCTATATTTCTCAGTAGTTCTGTATAATCCAAACAGAAAAAAAGCCAAATTCTCTACATGATTGCCCATTGTTATTTGAAGCAAACTGTTTGACTCAGACACTAGCAAACCAGGCTTGTCTTCAATAACTGTAAAACTAAACTGCAAACTGACCGACCTCAAAATGTTATATTTGAATTTTACAGCCTATGTATGAAACAATTGGCATTGCCTCTGTTGATTTCCATTCATTCAGAACTGAATTTTGGGCGTGTCCCAATACACACACTCACGGTCTTTGCACTTCACCACTTGTCTACTTACATTATGTACTGCTCAAAAAAAAAAAAAAAAATTTAGTCAGTTCAACTTAGAAAATGTACTTCATGTGGTAACATACAATAACTGGTTTTGTTGAAATGTAATAAATTATTTAAGATTACTGATTATAACTCAATTCAACTGACCTGAAAAACAAGGTTTTACTGAAGCATAACTGTCAGTAGACATAACCTGATTTCTCCAGCAAGGTAAAATTACTTAATATGTTTGAGATCATATTTTTTGTTTTATAAGATGAAAGTCCTTTTCCACCTTGATGTAAATACACTCAAAAAAATTATTAATTACTCTCACTTAATTTAATTGAAGAAAAGTTTACACACAATTAAATTTAGTTTAATCTACATTATTTGTTACATTTTGTCGGGCCATCCTAAGTTTAGAATTAATTTACTGAGGCTTAATTTTCTTACAGTGTTAGTAAAGTAAACTGTATGAACCACTAAGTAAAGACAGGTGTCAGTATTGAGCATTAAACACTGAGCACAAGCGCTGCTCTTTAGCACAATGTTAGAACAGAACAGAAACAACTCTAAATGCCCGACATAACTGAACATTAAACATTTACATAAACCATCATCTTTCCCTTTAATGAAAAACAAATAAAATACCACTTAATCCCTAAATATACTCTCCTAATGTAGTCCTTTGCAAAGCATGCTGGGAACTACAGATCCACTGCCCAGGGCTGCACTTCTCAAAAGCATTGTGAGCTAAGTTGATCTTAGACACCATTGGTGACAAATGCTTTAGGGGCACACCTTAAATCAACTTGCATCGCAGTTATTCACATTTCCCCCCATTTTGAGTTTATTACTGACAAACGCCTTGGTAATAAATAGACTTAAATTACATAAATTACAATGTGCAGTTTTATTTTAAGTTTGCAAGGCTCCAGATTAACATTTTGAGGGCAGCAGTTTTATTTAATAATTTAAAAATAATAATTCAAAAGCAAAACGATTAAAAAAAAATATATTTGGGAGTGGAAATGGCAGCCACCTACTGGTTACAATGCTAATTTAATGTCTTTTTTATTTTTAAATAAGTGTGAGTTTTCCTACATCTTGAAACTTTTAGTTTTATAAAATGGGGGTAATCTTTGAAGGATGAAAAAATAATGTGCAGGCGCGGGCCTGTCGCCGAACCCTGCTTTAGGGAAACGCAGCACGGTAATATTAGGTGGATTGAACACAATTAAATTAAGTTGTGACGGAAAAAAAAAAGAATTAGTGTATTTTTTGTTTTATAATGTCAATTGTGATTTTCACTTTGATGCAACATAATTTGTATAATAACCATAAATCACAATTTCTCATCAAAGCAAAATTCGCCGATCAGAAACACAAACCTTTTCTTCTTCTTTGTCCTTCAGAGCAGATTTCCTGTAGAGGACTCCAGTCATGACTACACTGCCCTCTATAGGTCTGCTGCCGTCATAGTGCGCATGTGTCGAATGTGTCCATCCTGAGCTTTATTGGAAAATGTTGGGTCAATGTAACTCATTTAAGTTAAAACAGCATTCCCTTGTTTTATGTTACATAAACCTGATTGAATTAGGTTACAATAACACAATTTTAATTTATAGGTAGAATCAGGTAGAAAATCCTCCTTAAAGCAACAACTGCACACGTTCACTTTTTACATTGCAGATTGAACATTTGAAGTACTGGAAAAAAAAAAAACCCAGTATTAAATATACATTTTCCATGAAATAATGGAGCTCACAGCCCTTTGAAATTACTGTGAAGTTTAGTCAGGCAGGAAGAGGCAAAACAGATCAAATATGCAGCACTTTTAACTTTAATATATATATCAAAACAAAAATACAGTGAGCAGATAATCCAAAGAAGGCAAAACAAACAAACAGTGTGCGCTATACACAACGGCAGACAAAGATCTGAACAAACAGGGCTATATACACAGGGTAATGATTCCTAAACTAAGGGCACACTTAAATAAACAAACTTTAATTAAATTGAGGAAAACTTTTTCATGAAATTGAATTGCATTTTTCCAACAAAATCTAATTTGTTTGAAATGATTTGTTGTTATGTTGTATGAACTTAAATTAATTTAGTCAGAAAAAAATGTAATTCCTACTAAATAAAGTTTTGTCAGGTTAACTACGTTTAATTTTTGTCCTGCCTATAAAATTGACAACATGAACATTTTAGGCAACTTGACTCTACAGTTACTTCCAAAAAAAATGAAATACTTGTGTTCAATAAAATTTGGTAAGCACAAAATTCAAAAACATTACAGAAAGTCCTCTAAGTTTCTAACATAACTGAACATTAAACACTAACATCAACCAACAACATATTTCCATTTACTGAAAAACACACAACATAACACTTTAATCCCTAAATTTACCCTCCTAATGCAGTCTCTTTCAAAGCATGCTGGGAACTACAGATCCACTGCCCAGTTAGTAATCAACAAAAATGATTCATGTAGTTTTTACACAAATGAATTATATAAACTTCAGTTTTAAATATATTAGGTTCAAAGATTGAACACAATTAAATTGAGTTGTGACAAAATGTTAAAGTATCATGTTACTTAAAGGTGCTCTAAGCGATGTCACGCGTTTTTTAGGCCAAAACATTTTTTGTCACATACAGCAAACATCTCTGCCTGTCCCCTGAACACACTGTAAAGAAACGCGATCTCTGCGGCGACCCGCTCCCCGAAACACTGTTCCAGCCAATGACCAACAAAATCTAATGACCCGCTCCCCGAAACATAACAAACTGTTCCAGCCAATGACCAACTCCAAGAAGGGTTTGGGGGTTAGTGTGCGGATGAGGAGGAGGGAGTGTCTAGCTAGCCTCCGTTTTGTTTGACAATAGTTCGAACGTCAACAAGAAGTGACGTCACCCAGGATCGCTTAGAGAACCTTTAAGCTTATTGTAATTAATTCAATAGAACAAGAGGCAAACATTCATTATTTGAGTGCAGGTGAAAGGAGTCAATGGGACAATGAGTAACCATGACAACCATATCATTTCACATCAATATATGCAATCCTATCAAGAATATGCAGTATGTGCTGAATCTTGATATCAAAGATCTAATTCTTTCGTATCTATATTAATATCAGTGTAAGTGACACCTTTGTATTGACCCTTGGTTTGAAAAGAAAACACACTGCCGTTTTCGCAGGACATCCTCACTGTGCCAGTGTAAGGCAGATCGAAAGAGCATCGTCCAACGGTGATGTTTACATCCACCTTCTTCCTTGGTGGAACTTCTACATTGGTGACAAGAGTTTCAGTGTTTTCATTGTTGTGCTCTTGACTGTAAGTGTTTTCCTCTCCGACGGTGGTACTTAATCCTGCGGAAGCTTCTCCAATCCCTGGAATCCCAGCCTTCACTTCCACACTGAATGTTGCTGAAATGTTGTCGCTCACAGACCACGAGGTTCTATTGATGATTTTCTTTAAAGTTTCAACTGTTTGCTGTTGTCTGACAGAGCTCCTATTTCTGTACGTGACGGATTTGATTTCTTCCAATGCCACCTGTGGAATCTCTTGCTTAATAGTGGGATAGCTGACATCGGTAAGAACTACGGACTGAATGTTATTTAGAAACACAAAACCAATGCAGTGAATATCCAATTCGGATCTTCCTCTAACGCCCAAACAAAACCCAGAGCCGACATTGATAGGGTATTCGGTTTTTAAACCCCAGCTTGTCATTTTCACAAACAATTCTTTATGTTTGTCGGTCTTGAATTTGATGCCTCCGAGGCGTGTCCCGTTACCGTTGCCCCACAGGGACAGTGAGGTGATTCTCTCGCCAGGCTGGAAGATGTACTCCGTGTGCTGTCCCTCTGGTGATCCAAAGGTTTCATTTCGCCCATCTGAAAGCCAGACCCTGACAGCCTTCACCTGCCATGGCCCCACCCATACCCATATCCTCTGCAGACTGGCACCATTGTTCTTGCCAGTAAGTGAAAACCACTTTCCTGTATTACCACCAATTATGTTCAGCGTTGTTGACATCTTTGAAGCTTTTAGATCTGAAATTTGCATGACAGATTAGCAGAATCAGCCAAAGATTTAATGACAAATATCTCTCCTATCACTGTTATTATTACCATACTGTTACTCTATTGCAGAGTTCTGTAATAACCACATGTAAAGTATTAGAAGCTGAAATGTGATCCTCGTGAAATACACTTACTTGTAAAGAACTTCTTCAAAAGCAGCTTGTCTGGTGACAGTGATACTCGTTCATCCAGGGTTTAAATGAGATTTGAAGGGGGCTGGATTTTACTGGCAAAACACACCCAGATTCACTAGAGCTCCTCGAGAGACAGAGAAGGATTTTTAGTTTTGCTTTCCCTTTTACTAGGGGCTTTCACACAAATGACTCTTTCTGGAAAATTAATCACTGTTTAGAGGATAAATAAGTTCTGGTATGAGTTGTAACATTAGCAGTAAATTACCTTTTTGACGCTACAAGTGTTAAACATTTTAGTGGGAAATTACAGTATATTATGGGGGAATAATTGCATTACTTTTACAGTAATTCCACAGTAGGACTTTTCTTTTGACTAATGTCACAATGTCATACTGTATTTCTACAGTGCACATGTACTATGAAGGTACCATAGGGGGGGAGGAGGGGGGGGGGGGGGATTCTGGAATCCACTGCTGCTTAAATGTATATCTAATGAGTGATTATAATCAAGGTATTAATCAATATGTTTACTTCTAAATAATCAAATGAGTTGAATGACTTCTCTAGGCTTATGAGATTTTACTTTGTTATAGAAGTTGCGTGTGTGATTACTGAAATGTTCTTTTCATGTATTCTCTAATGTCTGTATTTGATATCTGAATGCTGTAACAGTGCTTGCTCATTTAGCCCGGCTTCCAGAAATGAAATATGGACTTGTTTTGTGTTTGAGAAAGGTTATTCAACATGTGTTAAAACATACAGGGGTCATTGAAGTCTATAGTTTAAGGGACCGTTTCTCATTTGAAGCCTTTCTTTCCAGTTAGACTAAAGTGTCCTCTCCTTGAGAGAAAGAACGTATTATCTTGATGTTTTGAGAGGATTCTCCTGTTTATAGTTAGAGCCTGGCCGAATCCAAACTTGGAAAAGCTGTGTGTTGGTGTGTGTGTTAGTCTTCTTGGTTACAAGTTAAGAAACAACTGCATTATTGGAGATTGACTGAGTTGTTGTTCGGGACATACATGCTGGCACCCAGTAACCCAAATCTGAGACCTGGAAGGTCACGACGTGCCTAACTTCAGGGTCCGAGTGTCAGCTTCATAATCGATGGAGATATGCTTCAGTCTATCTGTTAATGTATGGAAAATTACTATGTTTATATTTCTTAGCTTATGAGGATAATTCGGGACGCAGCTTAGACCTTGGACGGAGTAGGGTATAACTGCTGTGTAACTGTAAGCGGGGTGGCCTACGAACTCCTTGTGAGTCTTGAATAGGGTTGCCAACTTCCGAAAAGAAAAAATGCGGGACATATTACTATATTTTGGCGATTTCGGGTTTGTTGACGGTTAGGGGGGGGGATCTCACAGGCAAGGTCTCTCACTCTCTCGCTCTCTCCCTCTCTCTCTGCGCTACACGGTTTGGCGCTGACGCACATACAGTAGGCTATGTTCTGTCTCGCATGCGCAGCTCTAGATTCTAGGAGATTTGAACTAATTTACGTGTCGTGTTGCTGTTGTATCAGTCAGATCAGCGCAGCACTCAATAATCGGTACAAGAGAGGTCCCGATCGGGACAAATAAATTAGGCCCAAAAATCGGGACGTCCCGGCTAATTCGGGACAGTTGGCAACCCTAGTCTTGAAGCTGACTTCTGCTGATGAAACTGCAAACTATCTTCAGTAAAACTTTTCTTTAATTTATTATAATTCTGACTCGGGGTCTTCATTCATCATATCTGGTTCTGGGTATTTGACTGTAAATCCCACACAGTGCACATGAATAGATGCTGTGGAGTTTTTTGATACTTGTCGGGTTTATCTGTGCTGCTGAACTTATTTTTGTTTCACTTTTAGCAGCTTGTGTTGTTTGTTTATTTTATAATGTTCAGAATTGATCTTTTTTATCATTATTATTTGTTGCGTCACCATTGTTGTGTTTTGTATGTCGACTATTGATGTCTGTGCATCATATGGTGATAAAATAGTTATAGTACCCAATCTAAAGTTAAAAATATTAATTATTTGTAAATGTTAATAAATGTTTACTAATCATTTAGTATCTTTATGGGCATTGTATTTTTAGCTGTGACCACATTTGTATAAAGGGGGGTTATGTAATGATTAGAGTTTTTGTGACCAATCTAGCAAACTTTAAGTCATCTCTCCCTGAAATAAATTAAATCTATTTTATTCCTGTGTCTCTGTGCACATATTTAGTTTTATGTTTAAGTGACGTCATTTACATTTATTGAATTGCCCAATCGGGTTTTTTTTTTAGTACAGATGAGTAAAACAGAGATCAAGGGGTTGATCGGAACTGAAGTGAAAAAGAGGTGGCAGAGGATACAGGACAGTGAAATAAGAGGAAGGCATTTGTGTAGTGGAAAGAACAACTGGTTATGACAGGAAAAAGGATGTGATACTGACACGATTATACACTCACCTAAAGGATTATTAGGAACACCATACTAATACTGTGTTTGACCCCCTTTCGCCTTCAGAACTGCCTTAATTCTACGTGGTGTTGATTCAACAAGGTGCTGAAAGCATTCTTTAGAAATGTTGGCCCATATTGATAGGATAGCATCTTGCAGTTGATGGAGATTTGTGGGATGCACATCCAGGGCACGAAGCTCCCATTCCACCACATCCCAAAGATGCTCTATTGGGTTGAGATCTGGTGACTGTGGGGGCCATTTTAGTACAGTGAACTCATTGTCATGTTCAAGAAACCAATTTGAAATGATTCGAGCTTTGTGACATGGTGCATTATCCTGCTGGAAGTAGCCATCAGAGGATGGGTACATAGTAGAGCCCGACCGATATGGATTTTTAGGGGCCGATGCCGATAAAAAAAAAGCCAGATACCGATATATCGGCCGATATTATTTATGTGTATATTATAATACAGTAGCAATATTTTGTATGTGTATTATAGTACAGTACCAGTCAAAAGTTTGGACACACTTTCCTATTGGTGTGTACAAACTTTTGATGGGTACTGTATATAGAATACACAGTATAAACAGAATAAATAAACGTTTTGCAATGATCACTCAAATGTGGTGATCAAACACTTGTGTGACAAAGATATGTAATGGAGACAGGGTGAATAATAGATTGAGAATGATACATTTGAGCTGTAACCAAACTAGTTTGCATTGCATGTTATATTATAAATACTGTTGCATAATCTTCACTAACTAATTTGTCTTTTAATTTAGTCACGTTATATAAAACATACCATATCAATAAATATATCAAAAGTGTCACTGACAAAACCTTATTTTTCAATTCAATTCAAATGTATTTGTATAGCGCTTTTCACAATACATATTGTTTCAAAGCAGCTTTACAGAAAGTGCATTTCAGAAATGTACATAGAAAAAATACAGTTAGTTAATCATGTAGGCTATTAATTTAATGTAAAATATTATCTTCTATTTTTAGTCTTAATTCCTCTAATCTCTACCAGTGGAGGAAGAACTCAGATCTTTTTACTAAAGTAAAATTAATACTATCATAATGAAAACGTTTTTAATTACATATGTACGGTAGTTTTATACTATTTTTAAATAAGTAGTATAAGCAAAATGTACTTAACGTGAAACATACTGTAGTGTTATAATTATATAAAGTATTGCTTGTGTAACGTAGCGTTATAGGCAGAATGAGCTTCAACACTGTCTACACCGGCCGCGGCCGTTATTGCTCACGTCGCAACAGCTGTTTACCCGAGACGCGAAAAAGCGCCCGTTACAAAGCAGAATGGGGCATCAGTTTACTGTCGGAGATATGACGCTCGCGCAACGCATTTTAATCAATGTTTCATCAACCAATTGCCTGGATTTAATACATAAGAAGTAAATATAGCAAGCAGACAATATAATCAGGACTTCTCAGCTGCGCGCTTTCCCTAGTCATCCCAAGCTAACACAATACGTGACAGAGAAATCAATTCTGTGAATTACACAGCGCAAATCAAAAGTAATAGGCTACTACCCACCGGATGAAGAAGGGTTGGCTCTCAACAGAACATAAAATATTCATTTTATTTTATTTTTCGTAACAACGGACGTGACAAGCTCTGAAAGCGGCACTAAACGACTTTAAAACTTTCACAGAGCCCTCAAAACAGAAAGCACAAAGCCTTTCATTAAAGTGAATTTCGTTTTGTATTAATTGTATCTTAATTTTAATCAATGTTTCATCAACCAATTGCCTGGATTGATTTAATAAATAAGAAGTAAATATAGCAGACAATAGATAATCTCGACACCGAGGTGCCGGCCGGCGCGTGAACTGCAACTCGTCTTATAAATTAACCAAAACTCAGCAGAAATATATCTATATTGAAATGTCTACTTTTAAACAGAACAATTCAAAACGAAAGACAGACTGCTCTCTGCTGTAATCCGTATGAAATGTGCATTTCTCTCTGGCGTGTTCACTGAAGATCGCGAGTCAGCGTCGTCAACTTTGCAGCGACACTGACTGAAAACACTTGTTTATTAATAAAAATAAAAATGTCTCCTTGCTATATTTGATGTATTCACAATCATTACTTTTGCCAGTTCTTTGTGACAGCTTTTATGTGCTTTATTGGCAGCGCCACCCTTACATGAAACACCGCACCCGCATTTTTTAAAATATTAATTTATCGGCCATTATAAAGGCCGATACCGATAGTTAGGAAAATGCCTAATATCGGCGCGCCGATATATCGGTCGGGCTCTAGTACATAGTGGCCATAAAGGGATGGACATGGTCAGAAACAATGCTCAGGTAGGCCGTGCCATTTAAACGATGCCCAATTGGCACTAAGGGGCC